TATATGGACAGGCAGTGGACCTGGTGCCTCATCAGGGGGGCCAGGCCTTCAACGACTACCAGAGCGGATGCAGTCCGCAGTGTTTGCCATCTATGGGACAGACAACACCTGGCTATTCGCGGCACGGAGCGAGCGTGATAAGATGGACTGGATCTTCCGAATCGATCAGACATACATGTCAAGCAACGACAGCGTCCCCGGAAGTGGGATAGCCAGCCCCTACCCCGGGAGCGATTTCTAGAGCAGGGTGAGCCTGTTATGAGAGTAATGACTTGCAACGTCCTCTTGGGAAAATGTTTTTCTTTGTAACTATTGGATGGTCAATTAGATGAGATGACTTATACCCCCACAGGAGTAGGAGGGCACGCCGATCATGTAGATTTGCTTTTAAAATTTTGGATATATCTTAGATAAAAGAATCAATTGAGAATCATAAGCATGGCCGAAATCAGATGCAATGCTGAGTATCCTTGTGGAGCATCGGCAAAGCTCTGTTATACCTGTGTTGTTACACCTACCGGCTATCATGTGAGGATCAGCGTTATGCTAAGTCAAATACCACAAAGTCTCAATCGTGCTAATGCAAGGGAGACTAATATTGTGAAGTACAGGCTCTATTATGCCCATGCTATATAACACAGTCCTCAGGGAGCAAGACAATATCTGACATTTGATAAGGGGTGCCAAAAATAACTAGTCTAAAGACCTAATAAGTATATACTAAACTTACCTAAGTCTTTTTATCGCTTAGGATATAGGTCTCAAGTTTTCTTGCCTCCTATAGACAGTCAACATAACAACATCAAAGCCGAGGGCAGCTACAAAAGTTCGCCACCTGTATGGGTATACAAATATGTTGGATCTCTCCTTATCACAGGCAAGTGATACTCACCTACAACGCATGCAACGGTGATACCGCAGTACAACATGATGTATAACACTGTACGTGGTGAAACACGCATGCAGCGCATATTCAGAGTTGTGCAAGCGATATACTAAGAGGCTGCAAGATACGTAATCTCGGCATTATAGTGGTGGTTCACCCTTGACAACGCATGAATGGGCTTGCATTGAGCTTGTGATTCCAGTGCAGGAGCTGGGACGGAACAGATCATACCGTTCCGGTATCCAATAGGGCATCTTCCGCAGGTAGTTATAAATTTGATATAAGACCAGGGATACCCAGGGAAACGGCTTTGTAGCGAAGCAAGGAAAAGTTGGGGGGGTTCCCCCCCCCCCCCCCCCCCCGAGTTTATTGAGAAGTCGATTACGGAGGTATGAAGCTGGGCATGGGAACTTATACCGAGATTATGTCCGATTACTAAGGTTTGGAGTTTAAGTGCTGGCGGAGCCCCAGGGGATGGTATTGGGGATCGAGACTATGAATCACGACCATATCACCTCCCCAAGAAGAAACGAAGTTGATATGCCTGCCTTTGTCCCTTGGACATCGGAAATGAGCGTACAAATTTGTGATTCATGGACCGAACACCTGGGCTCTTGTTGGTCGCTGACGAAGAGATGTGTTTCCGAGGTATGTATGAGCCAATTATACGTAGCGAAATCCTGCATCGTATAGGGAACGGTCAAGGAGCATACATCATGGGTAGCAACACGGCATATCGATTGGTTCAGTGATGCCCCGAAGATGCCCCGATTTGTTGGATAATGGTATCCTGTCAAACGTTGGGCCATCATTACTTCAATAGCACTCATTACAACAACGACGATGGTGATACAGGTAACAGGCCAGATTCCCGGAACTGACAACATGTGCCGGATCAACATTGAAATCCTCAAGTTGATGACAGGTCCCTTATTGGTTGTGAATGCTATAGCGAACATTTCACTTGTCGAGCAAAGTATTGCTGACCCAGACTGGCGGATCGTCCCCTCCACGTGTGGCCTATCCGCTGTCACTTTTAACTGAATCTCGATTAATGTCAATGCGCATGTTGTACTACAGCCTTGATGTTATCACGTCCCCAATGTTAAAGACAAATACCATTGAACCGGGATGAGGGAAGAAGAGGGGAAAGGAAAACGCCGAAGGAGGAAATGTTTACGAGACAAGGGTCTCATTTGGCCCGCTTATTAACAGCAACTCAAAATGAGAAAAGAGGTTTCTGAAAGGTGCGAAGGCAGACCTGGAGGGATCAGCAGAAGCATATCTTCCGGGCACAACTTTGACAAGGACAAGGAGTGTTTGAGAGGCCAGGATTGGCTGAAGTAATTAAAACTCTATGTACGAGGAAATACGTAAAGAGATGCCTCCAGCGGTAAAGCATTGACTCTGAGTTGCCAAGTTACGCAGAAACATGTGCATACTACATAAGGATGCATTGAGTTTGGAAGAGACCGCTAACTTTACGTCAAAAACTGTAGCTAAGTTGACATGAAACGCGGGACGGTGCGATGCCGGTAGCAGCAGAAAGCCTGTTATGACAAATATTCCTCAGCTACTGGGAGGTGGGCGTCTAGGTAAGTTTTTCCAAATCATGGCGTTAATTGTGCTCACGGACGGTCCTTTGGTGGGCAGATTGAGTTTCTACCGGTTTCAGAGTTAGAACCAACTTCAGTTACGTGACTAAGGAAGGGGGCCCGGTAACCCATGATGAGGAGAGATAAAACATATCAGATCATTTCAGATCTTGTAATAAAAAATGATTATATGTTTTCAAGAAAGAGTAAACGGACGCCATACTACTGATAGGTTTGTTTCAGTGACATCTCTAGCTTGACATGCCTGAGGATAAAATAGCGAGGACTTTACGGATATTTTTGGCCTGTATCATCCATCATTCTTGCCATAATCAGTCTTGTACCAGTAGTTCTACGAAATCTCCATCATGGTATTTCTCCAAGCGAAAATTGAAGTCCGGGCCGTACATCTATTATTGGCAGGTGCTATAGTGGTCGGTGACGCATCGACTTGTACCTTCCTTCATTGATCAGAAGCATCCATTTCTCATCCACTCCCACGGATCTCTAATCTCCTCCTATTCTTCTCTCCCTTGATAACAACCCACTAAATCACATCACATCACACCATATCATTTCGCATCAGCATACTAGGAAACTCTTCTGTCCCGTGTCGTCGGTTTCATTGACGTGGCACAAACCTTTGTTATGGCTTCTTGTGAGCCGCAGTCTTCTAAGTCCATAGGCGCCGACCTAAGCTGAAATAACCAGCTGACGGGTCCTAAGATGATGCTCGCTGAATCAGCTGCACCCTTCTATCTTCATAATTCCGTACAGGGCATGCGGTAGATAATGCTGAAAAGTTCTCCCAAGATACGCGTCTATCAACATGAGAACAAGGATCGTGACCATTCCCAAGCCGTCGGAAAGCCAGTTGGTTGCACCTTGTCCGACCCAGGCCATCGGATTTCATCCCAGCGCCAGTTGTTAGGCTTGAGCTAGCCCACCCACGTCGTTGGGACCGCCCGAAAGCCCCTTGAATGAGGGACCAGGATCTTGACGGGAGTTTGTTTTGCGTACCCGAAGTCATTTGCAGGCTCAGAGGAACTACCGTGGCCAATGGTATTTCCTTGCATAACTCGATACAACGCTAATGCCGAAAGTACACACGAAAGGGTTTAGTAAACGCCAGAAGGTCGTTTCCGTCCTGGTTCAGAACGTTGCTTTGCTTGCGCTGCAATGTTGACTCAGCCTTGTTTGCTCACTTCGTCTCCTCACAAGGGTTACCAATTTTGACCCATTCATCGGAATATTACCTGTGAGCTAAGGGATCGCGTATGCGTGTTGGTCTCTAGTGGACAGCCACATAATTGCATATCTTCTTACCGCCATACCTCTTCCTCTTCTCGCATCCAGTTACCCGTGTATGTTCTTGGAGAGCAGTTGGCAAATCCAAGGCAGGCAGCTCCTGGATTATACGTGTGGTGTGGTGGGCTGTACACACACGACTTAAAATTCACTTTTTGGGTCCCAGTATCACGACTGTTCCCGACTGAGCGGGTCGCCTCTTGTACTGGCGCTCTAGACCAGGGTAGTCAACACACCAAGACAACACAACATCCAATACCAATGGCGCATCAGCAACAAGCGCTTGTTCCACTTGCAGTTCTTTTCTGGTAGGGCTTTGTGGCTTTGCCAAGAAAGCCGAGAGCTAGATACCCGTCCCAAGCTGCTGGGTCCCAAGCTGCTAGTCCTGGTCCTGGTCCTGCTTGTCCCCGTCTCTTGTCTCCATCCTCTAGGTTACCCTGACTGAATCCACTCGTCGAGCCTCGGTCGCACCAGGTGTTTGGGTCGCTTCCCGTTCCCTTCCAACTGGGGCCGGTTCATCACTGCATTGCTCTACTAGGCTTGGCTCCTTTTCTTATGGTGTTTCTACAGAGAGCGGGGATTCCATTCAAGCTTCTCGCCCTTCTCCATTTCCATAACTAGCTTCCATTTCCCGACTCTCCTACTCTAGCTCCCGGTCTCTCCTGACCTTGCCGGTATTACATAGTGTTTCTTCCTGATGCCGCTCTAGGCGTTCTTCTTAAAGAGACAACTCAACAGCGTCGATCGTCTTTACTCCCGTTTTCCCCTCATTGTGCTGCACGCTCCACGACACCACCAAAACCTCCTTGTCGAATTTGTCTCGTGTTTCTGTCCGCCATTACCACCCACGCGCATCTTCGATTCATGTCACAACTGGAATTTGACTCTGCGTCGATATCCTATGATTGACTATCAAGTTGTAGATCAGAACGACTTTCAGGACCTTTCAATCTTTTGAACAGCCGGCAGCGTGTGGGTCGCTCGCCACTAGGGAAAGTCTCAGCATTTCTCAGTTCCTAGTTCGACAGGCACCTGTACTCGTTCCAGCCTGGGATTGAGTTGCTTTTTCTCTTCATGACCTCAGTTCAGAGTCGCTTCTGTGCTATTACCTGATACTCAGCCCTTTTTTTGCTTCGTCTTTGCCACACATAACTGTGACTCTCTCATGGCGCCAGCTGTAATGGCCAGAGAAACAGCTCACTCACCAAGCCATGACAGTATGCCTAACTCATCACCTTCAAGTCTTAACCATTTTCAATTTACTTTCAACTGCTCTGCTTCAAATTCCGGAGGGAACAGTTTTATTGAGCCTGATGTATGTGCTTTTCTTCTTTACATTTAGCTCAAGGGATTGCTGACTTTGTGTAGCCTGATGCTCAGGGCATGTAAGTTGTAGAACCCCATAGGGCACCTTTCACCGTGTTAGTTCCAGCTGACAAGAACTGTCAGAGACTCTGAATCTCTCACAGACAGCGTACAGAATTTCCCAGAAGAATTCGGTCGCACCTATCATGCCTACCGGGCTGGCTGTAAGCTCTGTCTATCCATGAGCCACCTACCATTTACCAACTAATGTCGCTTTTCAGCATACGCATTTCCCAACGACGAACTAGAACGCGAGCGCCTTGATCTACAGAATGAAGCATTAGTAAAGCTCTTCGGCGAGCGCCTTTACTTTGCACCACTGTCAAGGAGAGCACCGCCTGTAAATATCCTCGATGTAGCTACTGGTACTGGTGACTGGGCAATCAAAATGGGCGACCTGTTTCCAGAAACAGAAGTCGTTGCAACCGACCTCTCACCAATACAGCCTCGAAAAGTACCCCCAAACGTGAACTTTTACGTCGAAGATTCGTATGTCAACACCCAAGCATCAGGCAGACCCTTTGAAACTTACTGCTTTCTAGCTCTGAGCCTTGGGATTACTCTCAGCCTTTCGATTATATTCATACTCGTGTCACATCTGGCTGCTGGGCTAGTTTCAAGGAGCAGATCGCGGACCAAGCCTTTCAAACGCTGAAGCCAGGAGGGTGGTTTGAGTCGCAGGAATACGATGCCATTATAATGTCTGACGATGAAAGTCTTCCACTGAACGGACCTCTTGCAACATGGTTCCGCGAAATCAACGAAGCTTCAGAATTGATGGGCCGGCCAACCAGCGTTGCTGCTCATGTTCGTGAAGCATATGTCCAGGCAGGTTTTGTTGATGTTCAAGAGCGAATCTTCAAAATGCCTATGAATGGCTGGCCAAAGGATGAACGCCTAAAGGAACTTGGGCGCATGTGGGAAAGGAACTTTTTGATGGGCCTCAGCGGCTTCTCTTTCGCACTTTTCAACCGCGTCTATGAGAGAACTCCTGCGCAAATCGAGGTGAGCATCCTGTAAAGGTTTTTCTTCCATTCGTTTGACTTACAGTCGCAGGTGGCACTGGTTGATGTCCGACGAGAGCTGATCGATACGCGGATTCACGCTTATATACCAATACACGTCATCATTGGCAGGAAGCCATTCCCAGGTGAACGATCCGTCCCACGAGCGTCGTTTACGTGAAGGAAAAGCGCCAGGGACTGGAACGAAATACCTCCCCTTGAATCTTAATAGTTGAGGAAGGGAGCCTGGCACACGGTTCAGAAGGACCAACTCCAACATTGACAAAGCACACAACAACAACGATGCATAGCGACAATGGGGACGACTTTGGTTTTTTATACCCACGATACCCGATAATGTCGATACGATGCACATGACTAGAATAATGTATTGATCTGGGTTTGGGTACAAGATCGTACCGAACTACACCTTTAATAACCGCCTGTTTTAAGCTATGGAGTCTATATTGTCAGATGACGTTTCATGTTTCCAAAAATGCTATCGAAGTGTCCAGTTTCTCATTCAATTGTCTCCGCCCTCGCAACTGTCGGACTCATTCATTATCCTCAGGCATTTAATTTGATCTTCTCACGAGCCAGTCCAGTTCGCGGGCTTGTTCTTCGTTGAGTAGATCTCGGATTCCTTGTTGAGTGAGGAATGCATGATCGTGGTATTCAAAGCCAGGGACAACCGTCTCCGAAATCAGCAGGCCCTCAGTTTCCTCCCCGTTTGACCCATGGCCGCTATCTGGCTCGTTGGGAAGCAAGTAACTTGCCTTCCAGACATCACCTTCGACGATCCATTGCATACGCTCGCCTCGTTCAACCGCATTCCCAACAATAAAGGACTCGATACGCCCGTCAGGGTGGATGATCACATAGCGTCCCCGTCCACGATGCAGGGTATGAATTACACGGCTGCGGTTGCGGTGGAAGTTCCCCTGAGAGTGGCGTGGGGTTAGTAGGTAGTAAATGGTGGTAGAGAGGCGTCGTGTATCCGCCCTATAACCCTCGCGAGCAGGGCCCGAGAGAGCTAGCGTATCATGGGAGAGAGCCTCGGATGAATATGGCGAAGGAATGGTAGTAGGGTTCGTATCGGTTTGGCGGAAGTAACCCCCTTCGATATGGGGCTCTAAGGAGAGAGCCTGGATGAGGGACTTTGATCGAGGATTCTCAGGTTCGGATGAAGAGGTGAATGAAGGTTTGATGGTGCCCAAGTCAGGCTCGCCGTTGACAAATTCGCCCATTTTGTGTTTGGTATCAAATAAGGCAGTTTTGAGAATATGGATGGAAAATGAAAATTGTTTTTGGGTTGGCAGTAGATGAAGATAGAGAGCTCCTTTTATACCCCTGAATAGACAGTGAGTAAGAGCCTGATAGCGTAAAGTTGACAGAGCTTACGCACTCGACTATGGCATGTTGAACGCGTAGTTCACGGCCGTTGCGTACACACTAATGTGACGGGATGTTTGATAAGAATGCCTGTAAAACGAGACCCTCTTGGTGTGATGCAGGATTCAAAACTACTCAAAGAAGCTAGTATCGAGTTGGCAAACGAGGATGGTGTAAGCCAGAGTCTGACCTCCCAGGAAGGATTACAAACTCAAATTAGGATAAAGAGGTGGAAAATGGGTGTTTGGTATTTGGCAGGGAGCTTGTACTAAGGTCGCTGAGATGATGTCAGGGTTGCCCTAAAACGAGCTACCTGTGGTGAAGATGCTCCATCGCGTGGTGGTCAGGCCAAGCCCGTAGTTCCCGGGTCATATGCCTACAACAGCAAACCGCTCTGAATGATTGTATATGACAGATTTTTCTTGTGTGATAGTAAAACTTGAACCTTGATGTCAGCTGTTGGGTTTGTGCTGGGGAAGCAATTCGTTAGTGTAGTTTGTGATACTATTCTGAAATCCTAAGCAACATGCACTGACCACTGTATGAGGATAAGACTTGGTGCGGATGGAAAAAAAGGTGTGTCGGTGATTAAGCACTAGGTGCCTGTCATGATCAGACTGATCTGTTATTCCATTGGCAGCATTTAGAGAGCTATACGCTGGTGTATTCATGAGTGGATGTTGAGTCCAAGGGTCCTTAGAACGGGAAGAAAATTGCGCTGCCTGTACGGAGTAGTAGCCTAGCTATTGTCACTAAAAAACTTATGACAAGACCATAAGACGATCCTCCATCCCATGGTGAGGAACACCTTGACTTCTATTTTCTTATTCGATTATAAGTAACCATGTAGCCTGATGAAAACGAAACAAAGATTTTTATTTGCATTTTTCTTTCTTTAACCTCAAGCGTTTAACGCGTTCGTTTAACGAGTGCATGCTTTCAGGTTGTTGGTCTGGAGGTACTGACCTTAGTCTAAAGGCCCACTAAACTGATCCTAAACTTACCTACGTATTTTTATCGCTTAGGATAGAGAGAGGTCTGAAGTTTTCTTGTCCAGGATGTGGTCCGTGATAGTGGGAACCCGAAGCTCCAGGCGAGCCATGACGCAAACGATGGAGCTTCTAACTTGTGCTAAACACCAAAAACTATCACGAGACAAGGCAACACACAAGCAAGCACACAATCGCCAGCTTCACGGCTCGCTTGCTTCGTGATAACTTACTCTACCTGTCGGTTCTTCTCATAAAAGGCCCAAATAACGGCACGACAATTGACCGAATCACTCCGGCCGCCGACTCCGACAATGACTGCCCCTCGCTTACTCCAACACTCGTCACTGAGCATAAACCGTCCCACCATGCTCCTTATTCATCGCACCGCCATATCCTCTATCTCTCGCCGTAGGACCTTCTCGCAATGCCATTCTCGCCTCCAACAACATTCCGAACGAGAACTACAAGAGCGCCTACAAGCTGCGCGACCCCTCGTCCCTCATCGCGCAGCGCGCAAGTTCACACAAGCGGGCAGTGGTCGTAATTCGCGTCTCACCGTCATAGCAACTGTTGTCGCCGCCATTGGCTTCTACCTCTATAACTCCCAAACCGTGCCGGTCACGGGCCGTCGAAGGTTCAATTTCCTTTCTGATTCTATGGTCGCACGTGCGCATTCGAAAGCAGCTGCACAGGTTATTGAGCAGGTTAGAGCGCAAGGTGGTCATTTCCTATCAGAATGGGATCCAAGGACCATATTGGTTAGGAGAGTAATGAAGAGATTAATCCCCGTGAGCGGCATGACGGATCTCAACTGGGAGATATTCGTGATAGCTGATAATCGTATGTTTTGCGATCAGCTGCAGTGACTGTCGGGCTGCTGACCTTTGGCCATAGGAACAGCAAACGCCTTTGTCCTCCCTGGGGGTAAAGTGTTTGTACATAGTGGTATCATCAACGTCTGCCGCAGTGAAGATGCCCTCGCGGCAGTATTAGGGCACGAGATCGCGCATAATACAGCCTCTCACGCAGCAGAGCGCCTCTCTGCTGCATGGGTAGGAAATCTTACAGCAGGAAGTTTGTTCTTCCTCGCTGGAGCTCTACCTGGCCTTGCGCTCTTTGGACTCTGGAATGTCGTGGGAGGGTATTACTTACAAGATCTGCTCTTCTACCTTCCCATGGGCCGAAAGCAGGAAAGCGAGGCAGACTACATCGGCCTGATGATGATGGCCGAAGCATGTTATGATCCCCGCGCAGCTTTGGGCTTCTGGCAGCGAATGCACGCTCTTCAGCATGCCAGTGGACAAGAAGCCCCAGAGATGCTGAGCACTCATCCCTCGGTAAGTATATCTCATGTTGATGTGAACTTCGGGCAAACTGACGAGACGTAGAATGAGAATAGGATTGTAAAGATTAGTGAATGGTTGCCAAAGGCGCTTGAGAAACGAGCGGAGAGTGATTGTCGCGGAACAGCAGCGTTTGCCGACCGATTCCGTGATGCAATCCGAAGAAGATCTACTACAGTGGTCGTATAATAAGTTGACCAGCGTGTATAAGCCAACGAGTCAAGGATAGAGAGCCAAGATCACATCAGAGTACAGCGAAAGACGGCGTCACAGCATGGGACTTTGAGTTTTGGTTTAGAAAGCATTCCCATAAATTCTGCATACAATCTGGAAGTATATATCGACATGCTCCTATAGTAGATCACTCGTTCCTTGAAGCTCGGACTCAATGACTCTAATATGGTCATACTGCCAAGTTTCGACCGACTGGGGCTTCAAATCGCATTCTCCCTTGTGAAAGTTGATAATTACCTCGCTGTGATAGGTGCAGACCCCCCCGGCTTACTAGCTCTCCTAGCGCACTTCCCCAGCTACCCCGGTCCCCGGGCTTCTGCAATGGGGGAAAGTGCTGCTCGTGACCGTGAACCGAGGCAAGCCCCCACCTGCCGACGGCGCCCCGGAAAGAACTCCTTGTTTCTTTCCAAGCTTATCAACTGAATTTATTTATCTACGCTTTCATCCACAGCTCAATTCCTTCGTCAACTTCTCCTTTTTCTTGTAACTCGACTCTTATATCTACCTACCAAAATGTCCGAGACATATACTACCGCCGAGGTTGGAAAGCACAAGGATGAGGCCAATGGTTTCTGGCTCATTGTTGAGAATGACGTTTACGACGTGACCAGTACAGCAACCGAACCCAAGCTCGCAACACAATGCTGACAATCACCCGCAGAGTTCATCGATGAGCACCCTGGTGGTGCTAAGATCCTGAAGCGCTGGTCCGGAAAGAACGCTACCAAGGCCTTCTGGAAGTATCACAACGAGCATGTCCTGGAAAAGTATGGCAAGGACCTCAAGATTGGCGCTGTTGGCGAGAGCGCCAAGCTATAGAGATACCCAGCTCTGGGACTCAAAGACGGCAGCGAGCACTTTTTTCTGATTTGATTTGATTTTGGCATGGCGCATACCACATGTTGGATTAAGCTACACTAGATGGGTGGATTTGTATCGAGTTCAAAGATCTCAGCCTAGAAGCAAGTCGCGGATGGTTTGATATACCAGAATATATTAGGCCATAGAGTAAAGAAATACTCATATAAACCGAGAACTTGAATCCACTACGTGCATTTATATAAGTCGCCCTGCTAAGTTCGGAAACATTTGTATCGGACTATTCCACCTTCCGAAAGGAGCGTCGGATAACTTGGCCGAGACAACTGCAGGAATCAACACCATGACAATCATCGTCTGTCGTCGAAGGATCGTGCCGCAAGCTGCGGCTTAAGCGGCGAAGACAAGTGGGGGGGCTTACATGAACGGTGTGAGATAGCGGTAAATTTAGTGACTCGGGTTCCTTAAAACCTGAAGTTGAACGATTTCTTGAGAGGCATCTATACATTATCATCAACTTGAACTACCTTCTGGGCAAAAATGAGCGACCTGTTCAATCTCGACGTCCAACGGACCCGTTTATCCCGCCGTCACGGCCCCGAGCCCGGCTCCGCTCTGGCGCCTACTCTACCAGAGCTATCTGCCATCCAAACCGCTGAAGCCAAGCTCCCCCGTCCTGATTCGGAGGGCTACCTCCGAGGTGTCTCGCAGGAAGATGTTGTACGACACATCATACAGGACATTGTTCCCGCGTGTAACGGTCAGGGCAGTTCGTCCCGTTACTACGGGTTTGTCACCGGTGGTACTCTCCCTATTGCTGAGTGGGCAGACAATGTAGTCTCCCGCCTGGATCAGAATGTTCAGGTCCACCTGCCAGCGCAGACAATTGCAACTACATTGGAGGATGCAGCGTTAGAAATGCTCGTTTCGCTACTAAGACTTAGAGATTGGAAAGGTCGCACCTTTACAACTGGAGCTACGGGCAGTAACGTTCTTGGACTTGCATGTGGACGCGAAGCCATCTTGGAGAAGCGGGGGCAGAGTATTGGTGAAGTCGGCTTGCTTGCCGCATGTCTTTCAGCTGGAGTCAAGGAGCTCCAAATCCTCACAAGTGCAGGCCACAGCTCCTTGTCCAAGGCAGCGAGTGTCGTTGGCTTCGGACGAGGAGCTGTGAAGGAGCTGAGACTCAACGATAGTGAGCCCTGGAGATCGGACCTTGAGGCTTTGGAAAGAAAACTTCAGAAGAAAGACACCGCAAGCATTATTGCCTTGAGTGCTGGAGAGGTCAACACTGGGCGTTATGCTTTAACAGGGGTGGAAGAGATGCGTAAAGTAAGGGAGTTGGCTGACAAGTATGGAGCTTGGATTCATGTCGATGGAGGTAAGATCCAGTCCCCTTTTCCAGGATGCAGTTCATGCTAACATTTCAGCTTTCGGTATCTTTGCTCGTGCTCTTCCCGAGGAGGG